GCGGGCGGCAGCACCCTCTCACCCCTTCCCCCACCCCGTGACTCCGTGCGGCCACCAGGGGGCGCGAGAGCGTCTCTCCCGCAGCCACCCGGGGATGCGCGCTCCCGGAGCTGACGCGTGGCTGCCTCGCAGCACAAGAAAAAACTAACAAGTTCCTCCACTTGCTTCCTGCGGCCGGACTACTCAGGGGTCGCAGGCGTTTACCATCCGTTGGTCACCATTCCATGGGGTTAGACCGCCCTCTCTCCTTCCCCCAAAGGAGGAAGGACAGTAAGAGGGCAGGGCAGTGCCCCCAGCAGCCAGCTCGCCCCAGGCTGCTTTAACATCGTCACCGCCGCGACTCGGAGAGGGGGTCCGGAGGTGGTGAGAAGCCGCGTGCTGGGGAGATGCCCGCTTGCATTCGAAACTGAAATTCGTTTTATAAGACAGGATGCCCAGCAAGGGGGCCGCAGACAGAGAAATCGAGGAGCCTGGCCCCCATCCGGTGGGCGTGCCAGCCCCGCCCTGACCCGGCCCTCACACCTGGTGGCCGGGTGATGAACGTGCGATGGAGGCAGAGTCAGGGATTCATTCATTCCGACCTGCGCTGTTGGGAAAGGTTACTGAGCACTGAGCCAGCTTTGGTCCAGGTGGAGAGAGGCAGAGGGACAGCAGGAGCAAACGTGTTGAGGGTTAGGGCGTGGGGGTGGGGTCACGGTCCCCGGCCAGCAGGTGATGGGTCCCCGGTAAACATAAGTCGGGCTAAGGAATCTGGACTTTGTTCAGTGACCTAAGGAACCAGCAGCAGTTTGAAAGCCGGGGAGTCCTATGGTCGGACATGAGATTTACCAGGTCTGCCCAGTCTTTGCTGTCACCGTGGCTGCAGGGGTAGGAGCGGGGAGCCTTACCCTCACGCAACCAGTGTGGGAGGCAAACACACACAGAAGGTCCCTGAGGGCCAGGCTTGGCTGTGTTCTTGGATGGTGGAAAGAAAATCTTAGAATTCTGTTTATATTTTTCCAAAAACGAAAAAGCAAAAACAAACCAAAAAAACCGTTACGAATAGTTAAAATATAGATCCATACTGGCACCCTCATGCACTCTGAATGTTAAAGGCCCAAGTTATGCAATAGGTGAGATAAGCCATTCAAAAGAGAGGGTGATGCTGGAGGAACCGTCAGATCGCCACTTGTTTTCAGCATGTGATGACCTAGTGTAGTGTGTGTGTGTCTGGTTGAGTGGATTTAAGGATTTTATCATTTAGTGTTAAGTAAATTAAACCTTGGGAAAGTGGATAAGTGGCTTCAAACAAAGATCGTGGCACAGAAATTGCAGACAGACATTAGTAATGACAGCACAAGGGAACAGGGAGACAAGGAGTGAGCTGGGGTCTCTGTGAATTTTAGGAAGACCCTCCATCAGCTGCAGGACAGGGGAACGTGAGGGTCTAATCAGACCTGACTGTCTCTGGCCACTCAGCTTTTATTTTAGAAAAGTCAACAAATCTCTCATTTCAAGAAAAAGATTCTCTAACAATAAGTGAGAACATAATTGTTGTTTTGGTTTGGGTTTCTTTCTCCCCCCAGAGGAAACGTAGGCTATTGGGAGAGCATTTTGAAAATGGGATGTTTGGACATTTCTTTCTGTTATGCCATTTTTATTGTCCAAAAATTTTATTAGATTTGTAGTCACAACCCATAAAAAGTCTCATATGTGCACACTTAAAGTTGAATCAGAATTTCTGAATTTTATGAGAATCTACCAAATCTCCTTAACAGGTGTTTGAAAACCATTTGTCAAAAATGTAAAATTTCAAGAACTTTTGATTAGCATGCAAAAAAAATGACTGACATCAGAGAAGAAGGAAATTTGCTAGCTAAATTTACACAGCCAAGTTTGTGGAGTTAATGGGTGGGACACAGACTTGTGTAGGCCTAGCCCACACATCTCCATGGGGATCAGCCAGGCTCAGAGAGGTGTCTTATTCTCTGTGACAGCCAGCCTGCCTGGGTCCCCGGTGCTGGCAGCCCTGGGGCAGTGCCTGCAGACACGCACATCCCTCTGGCCTTCTTTTGTTCCTACTTTGTGTTCTTGGGGTCGGGGAGGCATGCCCTC